CAGGAAATTTCTACTCAATTCTAAATTACTTCTCTTCTTGATTAGTTTCCACCCATTGCTTCTTGTCCTACCTTCTGGTGCCTTGGAGAATAGTTTGACTCCCTCTTCTTTGTGGCAACCCCTGAGATATTGGATATTGGAGACTAAAACATATCAAGAATGGTTGCAGGAACTGGGTATGTCTTGTTTAATGAAAAGAAGGACTAGGAGAGACATGATAGCAGTCTTCCAATATCTCAGGGGTTGCCACAAAGAAGAGGGAGTCAAACTATTCTCCAAGGCACCCAAAGGCAATGGGTGGAAACTAGTCAAGGAGAGAAGCAACTTAGAACTGAGGAGAAATTTCCTGACAGTTACAACAATTAATCAGTGGAACAGAAATTGCCTCCAGAAGTTGTGAATGCCCCAACACTGGAAGTCGAGGATTACCTATATCTTGATCCTGAAGCTGCCGGGTATCTTAATAAGGTGCTAATTACACTAGCAGAGTTGTGAATTATTGTTATGAGGAGTTCCCAGAGAATTATTTTTCAAGATTTGCAATGCCAAAGGAAGTGGGATTTAGTTCCTCCACTTATGGAGAACATCAAGTTGTTGTGTGGAAAATATAATTACCCTCAGGACGCCTGTCCGTTTTAATCTTACACCGTCCTGTTTGATTCTGCATGAGCTTTTGCAACACTTGTGAAGTGGCAACTATTTTTATTACACTGCCAGAGAATAAATTTCCACATTGTTAGCACAATGCATTATCCTTTGCATCCCTGTGCAATTTTTTTTAAACAAATAGGAGTCTACAGGTAGTCCTTGACTTACAACAATTCATTTAGTGACCATTCGTAGTTACAACGGCATTGAAAAAAGTGACTTATGACCATTTGTCACACTCACAAGCATTGCAGCATCCTAATGCTTCAAAATTCAGACATTTGGCAACTGGTTTGCATTTATGACAGTTGCAGCGTCCCGTTTTATGACCTTCTGACAAGCAAAGTCAATGGGGAAGCCAGATTCACTTAACGCCATGTGACTAACTTAACAACTGCAGCGATTTGCTTAACAACACCGGCAAGAAAAGTCGTTTAAAAAGGGGAGAAAACTCACTTAACAAATGTCTCAGAAATTTTGGGGTCAATTGTGGTCGTAAGTCAAGGACTACCTGTATAAATCCATTTTGAAGTCATAAAAATTCCTCCTCCCCCATGCCAGAAAAAGGAAATTATCTCCAGCCCATTCATGTCTTTCAAAGCACAGATTTATCTGCATTTTTTCTGATTTTTTTTTAAATTATAACATATAATGGGAAATTGAGGTGCATAGTTTATTATAGATAGTCCTCAATTTACAACCACGATTGAGAGCAGGATTTGTGTGGTTATGCAGGCCGTGCCCAGTTTTATGACTTGTTTGCCACGTTTGTTAAACGAAACCCTCCAGTCGATGAATGAATCGCAAGGTCATTAAGCAAATCTGGTTTCCATCATTGACTTTGCTTGCTGGAAGCTGGCTGGAAAGGTCTTAAATAGCCATGGCAACAGCACTTCGACTTATATACCGCTTTATAGTGCTTCACGGCCCTCTCTAAGCTGTTTACAGAATCAGCATCTTGCCCCCCAACAATCTGGGTCCTCATTTTATCCACCTCGGAAGGAATGGAAGGCTGAGTCAACCTTGAGCCTGGTGAGATTTGAACCGCCAAATTGCAGGCAACTGGCAGTCAACAGAAGTAGCCTGCAGTACTGCACTCTAACCACTGTGCTTCCATGGCTCATGTGAGCCCAGGACACTGCAACCATTTTAAAAACATGTTGGTTATCAAACGTCCAGATTTTGACGATGTGACTGTGGGATCTGTGATGGTGATAAAAGGGCAAGATCAGTCGTAAGTCACCAATTTCAGTATCTTTGTATCTTTCAACAATCACTAAACGAATGATTGTAAGTTGAGGACTATCAGTATCAAAAAAAAATATAACACATATAATCGTGCAGATAAACTGACCCTCCAAATTTCAAGCAAAATATCATGAAAAGCGCACCACTGACCCTCAGAAATTTAACCATAGCGACAGCAAAACTGAAAACGGTTTCATCATCATTTATAAAACTGCACAATTTGAAGGTTGTGGCAGGCTTTTCAAAATCAGAGCTCGGGTTCGCAAGACAAGCCAAACCCAATTTTGGAAGCGAACGTTTTCGATTTATCTACAAGGATAGACGATAAACAAAAAAGAAAGTTTTGGAGCTCTGAAATACTCAAAAATCTTCATGACCGACATGACGCCATTCCTTTGTTTTACTTAAAAGCCCCTGGGGTTTAATCTATGAAGCATGATTTATTTATTTTGCTTCTTTTTATTAATTATTAAATTTATTTTGCAGTCCATTTTGCTGCAAAGTGACTGTGGGCAGCTTATAACATCCTAACAATTTCAGAATCCAAGGAGCTTTTCCCAATACAGGTAGTCGTCGACATATGACCACAATTGAGCCCAAAATTTGTTAAGTGAGTTTTGGTCCATTTCACGACTTCTCTTGCCACCTTTGTTAAGTGAATCACTGCAGCTGTTAAATTAGAAGCGCGGTTGTTAAGTGAATTTGGTTTCCCGATTGACTTGGCTTGTCAGAAGGTCGCAAAAGGGGATCACATGAGCCCTGGATCACTGCAGCCGTCATATATGTGAGTCAGTTGTCAAGCATCTGGATGTAAACCACATGAGCATGGCGATGCAGCAATGGCCATTAAGTGTGAAAAATGGTCATAAGTCATTTTTCAATGCCGTTGTAACTTCGAATGGCCACTAAGTGAACCATTGTAAGTCGAGAACTGGCTGCACTCATGCCCGTTGTACAGATAGTCCTCAACTTACATCATGTTACTTAGTGACCATTTGAAGTTACGATGGGCCTCCCCTACTTATAGGGCTCACTTCTGGAGTTCCAACAGCCCCCCCCCCACCAAGGTCACATGACTGCATGTGGGTTGCTTGGCAACCAGCCCGCATTTACGGCCATTTATACATTACATAGTCACATGACTACATTTTACAACACTTTTGTTAAAAATCCACATTTACTTCCAATTTTCTGCCAAAACAGCCTATGGCAAACAACCACCACCGCAAAAAAAGATCGTAAATTCAGATTGGTCACAACGGTGACCCACTTTATGACTGAACTAACAACTGTAAGGGGCAACCTCATTACAGTTGTAAGTCGAGGACTCCCTGTAGGTTATGATAAAGGAGAGCTCAGTAGTAAAATCCCATTCAATAGTAGAATTTATAACCAGAGGAATTGGTGGGCTCTCTTTCTTGGACATCTTCAAGCGCAAACCGGTCTACCAATAATTGGAAATAATATAGAAGTGGTCCTTGTTTAGTGACCACTGGGATTGGCAACACAGTCATTAAGCAAAGTGGTCCCTAAATGAAGCTACAGCTGCGCTTCTGATCTGACTTCAGGTTTCCTTTGCTTTACAGACCTGCAAAGGTGGTAAGAGTGAGGATTGTGTCATAAAGTGATTGGTGTAACTGAATGGTTCCTGTACAAGGCAGTCGCTAAATGAGGACTACCTGTTTGAATTCCTGATTGGTTGGTTTGGCCCCTCTCTTTCAAAGCTAAGCTTCTCTGAATGTGAGAAAATTTGTTTGAATCTTCATTCCAGAACCATAGGAGACAATATGTCTACAATGAAAAATTACCATGATAAGAGAGAAAAAGAGAGAATAAAACCCCACAATCCTCAAACTTCTGTGATGAAAAAAAAACAGACTCTTTGAAGTTATGGACTAGATTTGCCTTACTCTGGATGTGTAAACTGTAGGAAAGCTGATTTACAATCATGTTTGGCTCAATCTGGAATTTTCTTCATTGAAATTTACCTACAGTGCAAAAAGAAAAGAATTTTTTTTCCTATCTCTTGAGATAATGATAATTATTTCTTCTCTTTCTCCCTCTTCTCCTTCTCTTCCTTCTCCTTCCCTCCTTTCCCCATCCTTCCTTCTTTCCCCCCTCCCTACTTGCTTTCCCTTCTATATTCCTTCTCTTCCTCCCTCTTCCTCCCTTTTCTTTTTCTTCCTCCTCTCCCTCTTTCTTTCTTTCTTCCTTCTCTATCCGTCTCCTTCCTTCCTTCCTTCCTTCTTCCTCCTTCCTCCTCTCAGGTGCCCAACTCCCGGCTGTGATGGGTCCGGTCACATAACAGGAAATTACGCATCACATAGGAGGTACGTTGAAAATTTGTATACAGAAATGAGGCCGATGGCAGAAAGCGAAGAGGAGAAATAGTGTATTTGGGGAACTCATAAACCCAGGCCTGCTTTCAAGAAAGTCAAGACAATAGCTACAATCTCACAATTCATTGCCTGGTGGTCTTGGCCGCCATCTTGGTTCTTTTTCCTCCATCCCATCCCACTTATTTATGCATTCATTTAAAACTTTATTTATCCACCTATGTCACTAATCTGACTCTGGGCACAGGTTGAAAAGCACAAGATTTTAAAAAGTATATACTGTTTCCCTCTGTTAATGCATCTCAAGACTGTGTTAGCTTTTGCTGCACATTGCTGGCTCCTATTTAAGTGATTAGGACTCCAAGATCCCTTTCGCAGTTACTACTATTCAGCCAGGTATTTATACCTATTCCCTCACTCATCTCATAACCATGAGAGCCCTTGGTGCTCTCTGACCTTGGTTATTTTCTTGCTTGCACTGATGATGTTACCTACTTGGGCAGTGAAACATCTGCAAGAAAACAGTCAAGCTCAGAGAACACCAAATTTTGGTCGCCACGATGTAAAAAAGATGTTGAAACTCTTGAAAGAGTGCAGAGAAGAGCAACAAAGATGATTAGGGGACTGGAGGCTAAAACATATGAGGAACGGTTGCAGGAACTGGGTATGTCCAGTTTAATGAAAAGAAGGACTAGGGGAGACATGATAGCAGTGTTCCAATATCTTAGGGGCTGCCACAAAGAAGAGGGAGTCAAGCTATTCTCCAAAGCACCTGAGGACAGGACAAGAAGCAATGGTTGAAAACTAATCAAGGAGTGAAGCAATTTAGGAATAAGGAGAAATTTCCTGACAGTGAGAACAATTAATCAGTGGAACAACTTGCCTCCAGAAGTTGTGAATGCCTCAACACTGGAGGTTTTTAAGACGAGATTGGGTAACCATTTGCCTGAAGGGGTGTAGGGTTTCCTGCCTAAGCAGGGGTTGGACTAGAAGACCTCCAAGGTCCCTTCCAACTCTGTTATTCTATTCTATTTCTGTTCTGTCCTATTCTAATCATTTAGGTGCTCTTCTCCGCACTTTTACTACACACTCATTTTTTTTTCCCCTTGGCGCAATAGACAAATTGCAATATATTCGGAAATGTTAGCAAAAGATGAATCCGCCTTTCATCTCTTGAATCTGATTTTTTTAAAAGCTAAACTTTCCAGAACCAGATTACTTACCTTCTATGCAGCGGCATAAAGATGAAAGGGTCAGATTTAAGCTGACGCAAAATTTCTGTTAATAACACCACTATATTTATGACTCCTATTATCTTTTTCAAACATTAATGAGGGCCTCGGCCGTCTCCCATTTGAACAGCTCCATTAACATCTGCCATCTGCTAGCAAATACCTTCCTAGCCCAGACACTATTAATTGCAAAAGCTGCTCCCGTCAAAGCAAACGGCTGTCTTTTTATTTTCATTTTCTTTTTAATTTTCACCATCGCTTGCCTCCCTTCTGAGGTGTGGAAATGGAAATTATCAGATCAAAGCCCATGTGGGAATATCAAAGGGAAGAATGGTTCTTCTTCAGCGTTAGGATGAAAATGAGATGTTCATTTTCAGGGGGAAATGAAAAATTAATACTTTCATGGGAGCAAAGGTGGATGTAAGGAAGATTTCCCCAACTTGGGGCCCAGCCGATAAATTATTTAGATAGTAGAAATTCCTCTTTCTTTAGTCACATCCATCATAGAATGGAAAGGAATGGAATGGAGTGGAATGGAATAGCATAGAATTGCATAGAATAGCATAGAATAGTATAGAATAGCATAGAATAGCATAGAATAGCATAGAATAGCATAGAATA